GGATCCCAAGCCAATAAACTGATGCGTCTACACAACAGTGAAGTGGGGAGACAGGTAACCACCCACCCACCCGCCCCAGATGGTTGTGCTTGTACCAATTGACTGGAAAAGGGCCACCCAGTGTGCCCTAATGGATGGGATGGCGGGGGGATGGGGGGGAAGGGCCCTGACCCACCCATACTGATGTCCTCCCAGCCTCTTTCGGCTCTTCCCTCTCCAGCTGCTTGGGGCTTGCCTGGCTCCTCCTCCTTTAGGGGGTCCACCGGGATTTGGGTTGGAGAACGCTGGCAGAGCAGAAGGAGCACTGAACTAGGAGTCAGGAGCTCTGAGTTCCCACCTGGGTCTGGGACTAAACCTGCTATGTGATGGGCAAGTCGCTTCCTCTCTTGGCTTCAGTTCCCATCTAGAAAATGGGGTGGGTTGGTTCTCTCTGGTCCCCATCGGCCACGTTCCTCAGGCTCTTCCTCTGGGACTCTGGGCCAAGGCCTGGTGTGGGAGGAAGCGTGGAGAGAGGGCTGTGGGGCAACAGAGCCTTAGCTAAGGAGTCGTCTCCCAAGTCGATCCCCCTCCCAGCTCCAAGACCCGCCCCAACCTCCAAAATGCAGTTTCCCCTCCATGTCTATTATTATCGGTGTTTCATTAATTCTGCACCTCATTCCACAGAAGGTTGTGGTGTATACATAAGTGAATGAATGGGCATTTTAAGTTTTTGAAAATTAAAGAAAAAAACTTTATACCAATTTAGGTACCACACACTGTGGTGGGTGCTGGATTAGTTTTCTCTCCCATAGTCCACAAAACCACCCTGTGAAGAGGTACTGTTATCCCTCCTTACAGATGGGGAACTGTCCAGAGGGACAGAGTACTGGGTGCAGGTGCCATCTCATGACCCCTCCCTGCAGCCCCATGAGGCCCATTGTGCAGAGACACCAAGTGGGGCAGAAAGAGCTTAGGTGGTTTGGCCAAGGACACACAGTGCAATGGAGCCCATGTCTTTGGGGCTTCAAGCCTAGAGGTTTCCATGTCCTCTCCTTCCTCTCTCACTGGTCTCCCTCATGTAAGGACTCTAGGATGTCCAGGTCATCTTTGGACAGCTGGGGAGACTGAAGCTGAGTCACCCTGTGGGTCTGTAGCAGAGCTGGCTAGGGACCCAGGACTCGCCTCCCAACCCTGCTGGCATACCCCTCACCCTTAATCCAGCCCCTGTCTGAGCCTCATACTGCCGGGGCACAGCCATCCCATCCCACAGTGTGGTCCAGACAGGGTCCTCAGCCTTAGGGGCACATTAGGTGTGTCCCAGGAGCCCTGATGCCAAGGAGCTGGCCTCCTTGGAGTCATCTTCAAAAGGGCATAATTCCCCTCCCCCAAGCCACAGGGCCCAAGAGGGTAAATGTCAGGTGTTCGGTGCTGGCTCACAGCAGCCCACAATTTGAACTGAGGGTGGGAGCATGGTTTTCCTTCCCCATGCCCTCGGGAGGTTGAACACGCCCTGCAGTTGGGTTCACTACGTGCTCTCCACAGGCTTGGCGGAGACCGTTCCAGACTTTAGACCCAAGTGGACTCCCTCATTCCCCACTTTCTGGCGATGTGAAGGGGAGGGAACCCTGGGACCTTGACCAGCTTCCTAATTAGTTCCCTGAGTGGTTTGGGGCAAATCCTTGCCCTCCTTGTGCCTCAGTTTCCCCATGTTTTTGATGCAGGCTCAGGGGACCCGTAACACCTGCACAGGGCAGGCGGGAGGGTGGGCAGAGGGATCGGAGTCCTGTGTGCAAGGAGGCGGGGCTTAGACACCAGAAACGAACGGCCTGCAGAAGGCATCTAACTCATGCCCCTCAGGTACACAGGGGGAACCTGAGGCCCAGGGAGGATATGGTCACTTCTGAAGCCAGGGCTCGAGTCTCCCCAGGCACCATACCCAAGCCTCCCCTCCCCACCATAATTCTTACTTAGACTGATTTTTCAAAACCAATATTGATTTAACTTTTATAGTTCACAAAACCCTTTCATATATGTCATCTCGTTGAATCCTTTCAACGACTCTGCAAGGTAGCAATTACACACCCCCTTAACACACACAGAGACAGAGGCGCTGAGTGGTGACGCCACACCAGGCAGAGGAGGGGAAGGCCAGCCAGGCTGGGGAGCCCACCCTCAAGCACCCACCTCCTCCCTCGTCTTCCCTCCTTCTCTCCCTCCCTTCTTTCTCTTCTTTTACCTCTTTTTTTTTTCCAGCAAGCAATTTCCGAGTCACAGTTTTATATGAGAGAAAAAGCATGAAACAGTGAAAAGCTGTGGCTTTTGGAATCGCCCTTAGACCTGGGTTCAAATCCCAGTACCGAGATCTTCTAGCTGTGTAGCCTTGGGCATGAGACTCAGCCTCTCTGAGCCTTTGTTTCCTTTTAAAAAAAATTATTTACTTATTTATTTTTTAATGGAGGTACTGAGGATTGAACCCAGGACCTTGTGCAAGCTAGGCACACACTCTACCACTGAGCTGTACCCTCCCCTCTCCTCTTTTTTAAATGGAGAAATTAATGATACCTCCCGTGAAGGGCTACTGTGATGATTTTAAGTGCGGGAGCACTTGGAACTATAGATATATAAATGACATCCATTACCGCTGCAAACGCCAGTCTCTTCCTGCCTCTCCCTGCTGCCCTCCAAGTTGGAGGAGGAGCTAAGGACCCTCAACACCCTCCCAGCTTTAGAGCAGAAGGTCAGTCACTTGAGGCCCAGAGCAGGCGGTGACTCCCTAAGAGCACCCAGCAGGTGGAGGGGTGGGGCAGGGCCCCGGGGGCAGGCCAGGGAGGGGGCCCTGGCTGCCCAGCCCGACGCCCTCCCCTGTCCGCAGGCTCTGCGTGCCTCTCTGGAAATGAAGTGTAAGTGCCACGGGGTATCTGGCTCCTGCTCCATCCGCACCTGCTGGAAGGGGCTGCAGGAGCTCCGGGATGTGGCCACTGACCTTAAGACCCGCTACCTGTCGGCCACCAAGGTGGTGCACCGACCTATGGGCACCCGCAAGCACCTAGTGCCCAAGGACCTGGACATTCGGCCCGTGAAGGACTCGGAGCTCGTCTATCTGCAGAGCTCCCCCGACTTCTGCATGAAGAACGAGAAGGTGGGCTCTCACGGGACGCAGGACAGGTAAGCTTAATGCCATCCTGGCAGGGTCAGCTGTGTGGCATGTACTCCACCCCAACTCAGGGCCAGGCACACAGTCGGCATTTGGGGAATGGAGCCCCACCCAACTGAATACTGAATGGAGGTGCGGGATGCAAGGGGCCCCAGACAGAGCTCCTGGGAGTGGCTCCCCCAAGCAGTGGCCCCTTGTGAATGGAGGCTGGTGGGAGGCCCCTTCCCCACCTTCCTGCTAGTAGGGGAGATAGATGGGAAGAGAGAATGATTATACTGGGAGACAGGGGCAAGGAAAAAGGCTGCCTCACATAAATTGGTCCTCAGTAAATGTTTGTCAAATGCGTAAGTGAAGGATAAATGTCATACAACTTGTTGGCTGGACCAGTGAACTGAGGCACAGGACGGGTTGGGGCAGTGGCCAGCCCCAGGCCGCACAGGAAGTCTACACCATGGGGAGGTAGAACCAGGGCAAGCGCTTTTTGCTTTTCGGAGGGACAGCAGGAGCGCGAATTCGGCCTGCATTCTGCAGAGAGACAGCGCTCTCACCTCCCCACCTCTGTTCACTGACCTCCCAGGCTTCAGCTCTCTCCCCTTGGGCCTCAGGTTCAGAGCCAAGGCTGGGGTCCCTACATCGGGTCCCATCACAGATTCAGGACCAGAGAGAGGGAGGGAGCCAGTGGCGACTACAGACCTACTGTATGCCAGGCGGGGCTGCTGAGGATTCAGGGGAGCAGCTCTTCTCAGAGATGGTTCAGGAGGAATCCAGTCCGAAAATGCTATAAAGAAATAGTTCTGCAATCAGATACGTTGGGAAATTCTCTCTGGCGATTTGTAAGGCATGAGAACATATTAAAGGCTCTGCAAAATCCCGCAGTAAAGGATCTGCCTAAGCCAGTGTTTCCCAAAGGTGTTTGGCTGTGGAACTCTTTTATTAAGGAGCCCCTAATAGCATTCCACAAAACTAGTGTTCTTCGGGGTTAAAAGAATATTGAACCAGAGTGAGGGTGTCTGTGAACATGTCTGGCACATAGTTGGTGCCTGGCCAGCATTTGCTTCCTCCTCAGCCCGCGTTCCTGTCTCCAGGAGGGGGTGGGGGGCTGCTTAGAGGGGCTTTGTCCTCACAGGCCAGGGCAGCTCTTCGAGGAGGCCCAGGATCCCATCTGGAGGCCAGATTGAGGGGTTAGGGTGGAGTGAAGATGCAACCAGTTCAGGCCAGAGAGACAGGAAGGAGCGAGAGTCTGGGCTGAGGCAGCCAGGGTGGGTGTGATGAGGCTGGGTTCGGGGGAGGAGGATTCTAGAATCCAGAGAGCCTGGGGAAAGCCCATCAAGGGCCCCAGAGCAAAGAGAAGGTCTCCCTGGATCCATGGGTGTGTCTGTGTGTGTGTGTGTGTTTGTGTGTTTGTGTGTGTGTAGCAAGAAGAGTTCCCACCCTGACACTGCAGCTTCTTAGCTGTGGGACCTTGGGTAAATCCCTTCACTTATCTGAGACTCGGTCTCATCTTCTGTGCCATGGGGATGGTACCACACACCTGGGAGGGTTGGCAAGAGATTCTAATCACACTCACCGGGCAGCCCCCTAGTGCTGGGTGGTGTCAGTGCTCGTGAATGGCAGCTTCACTTCCCCTCCCCTCCCCCTAGGTTGCCAGGCCTCTTCCTGCCCAGCTGCCCTGACTCTGCTCCTAGGACTTGTCCTCAAGCTACTGATGAGGAGGTCCCATCCCACAGCAGCCTCCCTTGCCTTCTCAGAATGCCACCCGCCTTCCACCCCTCAGGTTTCCTGCCCTGGTCAGCCCTCAGCCATTCCTCTGAGGATGGGACTTCGCAGACAGCTGTATGCATCAGCTTTTTCTGCAGTAACAAACAGCCTCAATATCTCAGTGGCTTCTTATACCCATTACATGAGGCTCTGGCAGGTGTCAGGGAAGGGGAGGAACATCAAGTGGTAAGATTATGACAGAGGGAAAGCAGGGAGCTCAGAAGGGCTCTGACCCAGCCTGGAAATCAAGGAAGGCTTCCTGGAGGAGAGGAAAGGTGAGTTTTACTGGGTTAGGGATTTGGAGGTGCGGGGGTACGATGCAGTGAGTTTTGTTAACTATAAAAGGCAGGTGCATATGTGGTACAATAGCTGGCCCCTTAGCTGGGCAAGATGCCCTCCTCAAATCTAGCCTGGTGAACTGAGGCCTCCTCAGCAGTCCATATTCCAAACTCCAGCCCTTTTGTCATATTTCTTCCAGAGGCCCCTGGACCTCTGAAACCTGCCTGTTCTCCAGGCCCCACCCTCCCCAACTTCCCTTCACGGGCACCATCTCCCACTCTTACTCTGCTTAGATTAGGTCAGGTCAACGTGTTTGTTCTCTGCCCCCAACACCCTTTCCGCTCCTCTCCATCTTAGATTCCTGCTCAACTTTCATGAAATGGCTTAGATGACCCCTCCCCCTCCAGGAAGCCTTCCTGAATTCTCACAGACCCCATGTTTACCCTGTGTGATGCTGGGCAAGTTCCCTCCCCATTCTGTGCCTCAGTTTCCCCATCAGGAACTGTGAGGGTTGGATGTGGTCATCTCTAGGGTTTGCCCATCTTGGACATTCTGGGATTCCTTGGTCCACATGGCTTTGGGGACCCAGCTGCATCCCATGACAGCATCCCTGTCTAGCCTGAGTCCAGCTAGAGGAAATGCCAGCCTACACAGATATTGCTTCACTAGACAGAAGAATGATGACAAAGATATTTGGGGACCTTCAATGTCTTCTTCGCCCACAAGAGTTTCACGAAGAAATGCTGCCCTGGCATCCATGGGCTTTCTGCCCTGTAGGGTAGGGAGAATACCATTGGACTTGGTTTCAGGACCCCTGAGCTTGAACCCTGCTTATCTATCAACTCCTGTGGGCCCTTGAGCAGGCCTCTGCCCTTCACTAAACCTGTTTCCATCTGTAAAGTGGACATAGTAGTTCCGCTGACCTAAGAACACTGCCTGCCTCCAATAAGATAAAACACTGGAGACAAGCATCTGGTACATAGAAGACAAATGATTGACAGACCCTGTGTCTCCACAAACAGACACAGCCAAATGCTTACCTTGCCTCACATTCCAATGCCATTTGTTTGTTTCAGAATTTATTTTGGGATTTGAAAAGTGAAAAAGGATCTTTGCATGTGTTACAATGTAATTAACAATTAAATATGAAGATTGGATTATTAGGCAGAGTGGTGTGAGGCACCTTCAAGTATTTAGAAATAGAAGAAATAGGAAAAAATACATCTCCAAGAAAACAGAAATACCCCCATCATTTTGATAAACGCGTATTAGAACAACTACGCAGGGAAAAGGGAGAAGTACCCATGGGGAAGAGGGTTATTTTAAATTCCCCAAAGATCAAGACATCGTCCAAGGGGGAGTGAGGCTGCAGCCATGCACAGTGGGGAGGCTGTGGCTGCCTGGTTGGGAGTGGGGCGCTGAGGGGGGACGGGAGCACTCACTGACCTCCCCTCTCCCTCCAGGCAGTGCAACAAGACATCACATGGCAGCGACAGCTGTGACCTCATGTGCTGTGGACGCGGCTACAACCCCTACACAGACCGCGTGGTGGAGCGGTGCCACTGCAAGTACCACTGGTGCTGCTATGTCACCTGCCGCAGGTGTGAGCGCACCGTGGAGCGCTATGTCTGCAAGTGAGGCGCTGTGGGACCCTCGGAGGCTGGCCAGGGTGCCTGGAGACACCCCGTGGATTTTGGCTTGTGAATTCCAGATGCTGGGCGTGGAAGGAGGCTTGTGCTTTGCCTCCACTTGGAAGCCACTGGGAACAGAGGCCTGGCCACCAGGGAAGGAGGGCCAGGACATCAAAGGAAACCGACAAGGTTAAAAATAACCTGGCAACCCGAGGCTCTGGAGTGCCCACTTGCTGTCTTCCAGGCGGATCTAAGAAGCCAGGGGCATGGGTTTGGCAAGACTGGTATGGACTTGACCTTTCACAGCCAGAGACACCAGCCTCCTAGGAAGGGGCGGGGGGGCGCAGTCAGCCTGCCCTCACCAGAATGTTCTGCAGGCCCAGTCCTCGAGATACCCGGCCCACCCCAGGGTCTGAGCCTACTGGGCCCACCACACGGAACCACTAGCTTGGGTTGTAAATGTTTTTTTGTTGTTTTGGTTTTTTTCGTCTTCTGGGATGTGGGAGCTACAGAAATATTTATAAAACATAGCTTTTTCTTTGGGGTGGCTGGCCTCAATTTCTCTTTATATATTTTATATATATAAATATATATATATATATAATGATCTATTTTAAACAAGCTTTTTAAACAGCTGTATGAAATAAATGCTAAGAACCCCAGCCTGCCTCTGCAGTTTCTGGCCTCCTCAAGTGAACTCAGTGGATCCTGGCACGGGGGGGTGAACTCTCCAATTTCGAGGCAGGGTGGCATCCGATTGATGTTCCCCGCCCCACTCCCCCCACCTGACTCTGGCCTCTGTCTCCTTGTAAGATCTCCCGGTCAAGGGTGAGGACAGACATCTTGAAACCCAAACCCTGGCAGACTCTTTGTTCGTCAGAGACACACATGCCAGCACACAGAGCCTGGCCATGTCATCAGACCTGCTAAATGGCTTCAAGAGAAAACCGACCCAGGGGCTGCGGATGCAGACCTTAGGGAGGTGGCGGCAGACCAGGCTCCAGCTAGCCCTGGCAGGGTTTCTGTGGGACTATGGGGAGGGCTTTTCCCCTCTCTAGGCCACAGTTCCCCATTTGTAAAGCAGGTGGTGGAGATTAAGGTAGTGTTTGGGAAAGGCCCCCAGCCTCCGCTGGCTACGGTGGGCGTGGTCAGCACTCACTGGATTCCTGCTCCGTTTTGAAGGTGGAGCCATTAGGACCTGTTCTCTTCATGGTTGTGGGGTGTGAGGGCGAGGAGAATCAAGAAGGACTACAAGGGTTTTGGCTGAGTACTTGGAAGGATGCTGGGACATGGGTGGAGAGAAGACTGGGGTTCAGGCTTGGTGGAGATTGTGATGTTGGTTCGGTCCCAAGTGGAAATACTGAATAGATGGACAGATAGTCGAGTCTGGGGTTCTAGGGAGAAGCAGGGGCTGAGATGTACATTTGGACATTCATCATTAAGAGGCGGGATAGAAAAGCAAAGAGCACCAGGGCTTGGGCCTGGGGCACCTCCACTTTGGAGGTCAGGAAGATAAAGATGAAAAGAAGGGAAGAGACTGAGAGGTAACAGCCAGGGAGATGGGAAATTCTGGAGGTCTTGGCGGTTGCCAGGTGAACACAGGGTCTCAGGAGAGTGGGAGTCCCAGCACAAACAGCGCTGTCAGTCTCTGAACTTCAGCCTCACTTCCTGACGATGTGGGCAGCACTGTTCAAGTAAAGAGTATCCTGGGGCCTGGCCCACGGCAGGTCCCCAAATGGGGGTAGTTATTAATCACCTGTATCTGCCCTGGCTGTGGGGTGACCACATAAGACAAAGGATGTAAGAGAATGTTACAAACTGAATTTCCGTGCACATGGAGAAGACACAAATGCTGAAGCAAGAGCGACGCAACCTGGGATGGCAGGGACTTACTTGCAGAGACTGGAACAATCACAGGGTGAGAAGAGGGAGGGCACTGTGGCCATCCTCCGAGCCCCTGCCTGAAAGCATGTAGTGGGCATGACCCAAGTCACAGACTCACAGGCTGGAGGGAACCTTGAGATTAGTCTTCTGGTCTCTCGGTCTGTTTTGCAGATGAGGAAATTCCAAGATGGGAAGGGCCTTTCCTGTGGTCAGAGAGCTGATAAGAGGCATAGGGCTGGTGGTGAGGCATCCCAGGCAGGCCTCCCACCAGCGTCTCTGCCAAAAACTCAGCCTCCATTGAACAAGTACCGGAGTATGTGCTCTCCCAAGCCCAGGGCTGCCCCTGCTCCACACTGGTGTCCCATGGCCCACTAAAACAATCCCCAGTTCCCTGGTCTGGCATACGAGGCCCCTCCCCCAGGCCCCAGGTGACTCTTCCAGTCACATTTTTTGCGACTCTCTAGGCATCTTCTCTGTTCAGCCTGCCTCTGGGCATCTGCTATTCTTCAGCACAGGCTTGGAGTGTCTTTTTCCCTGTTGGAATCCCACTCAGCCTTCAGAGTTGTCTCTACAAAGCCTTCTCCAGTCGCTTGAGCTCTATACAGCCCTTTAAACTTTTAAAGCAGCCATAACATTCATGCTCACAGTCACCAGCCACTGCCTACTCTTTCTCTAAGGCCCATGTAAATGGTCCCCTCCTCCAGGAAGTCTTCCCTAACTATCCTCAGTCTGGGCCACTGGCCTCCTCTGGGTTCTTGCGGCCTCTGTGCTCCTCTCTCACATTGATCTGAGCCAAGGTGTTGTAGAGGTCTGTGTTGTGTATCTGCCTGCCTCCCCTACCTGTCTAGGGCCTCCTCATGGGCTGGAATCAGCCCAAAGCACCTGTGGGGCCCCAGGGTCCAGGGATGGCACACTGGGAGCTGCTTATGTCTTGGAAATGTTAAATTTGGGGGTGTCTTTTGGACCTTAACCAGGAGAAGCAAATGGGGAAACCACACGAACGACCCAGAATGACTCTCAGAGAGGGTGGTTGTAATAATATAAATGTTACCAGTTGTTGAATACCTGCTGTGTGCTCTTCCAAACACATTGTCCCAAGACATCTTCACAGCAGGTTCTGGGTGGGCATTGTTACCTCCTTCTGACAGATAAGAAAAGTGAGGCTCTGAGAGGGGAGGCCACTTGGCCCAGATATCCCAGTAAGCTCATAGCAGCAGTGCAGGGCTGGGAGCCCAGGCATGTCTGACACCAAACTCCTTCTCACACGACCTCCCTCCAGCTAGGGATGAGGAGAGCAGTGTGGAAAGCAGAGGGCTGTTTGCAGCTCGGAACAGGAGACCCAGATGTGCTCCTGAGTCAGTGGGCCTTCTGCACCTGCCGCTGGCCAGTGCCGAGCCTGGCAACCAAGAGGCCGTGGAGAGCTGCTCCTTGGACTGGCCCTCCTTGGCCAAGTCAAGGTTCTAAGCACGCAGCTAAGCTGAGCCCTGACTCAGGTGAGGCAGGAGCAGGGCCTTCACCAGTGTGAATTCCAGAAACTCAGAGCTCTGGTGTCTCAGGATTTCATTGTATTCAGAGATTAAGAACCATAAAATCTTGGCACCTCTTTTGGAGTAAAAATCCTCAAGGCATTGCTTTGGAAGCCCTGTAGAGTCCCCCTGGGCCAATAGCCAACCCAAAGAATTTAAAGGCCTAGGTATTGATCCATGGGTTTCAGAACATGTGTAACCAGCAGGATTCCTGGCCTGGGCCGTGCTCCATCTCCCTCCTCCTACGGGGGCAGCAGTCCCAGACTGGGAAAGCCCGAGAGATGGAAACTCCACAGGGATGAGAGTACCACCCGCTTTGAGGAGGCTTCTGAATCAAGTGTGTCAGGCCAGCCGGAGACACAGAGCGTCAGGGCCTGGGGAGAGAGACAAGAAGGCGGCAGAGAGGAAATAGGAACTCTTGAAAAGAGGGAGAGATTAGTTTGGTGGGAAAAGAGAGAATGAGCAGATAAGGCCCCCCTGGGGAGGCCAGGTCAGGCCAGAGGAACAATGACGGAGAGACTGGGCTCGGCCCTGAACAGGCGGATGGTCTGTTGTTCCTTAGTTCATGGAGACCAACTGCCAGGTTATACAGACCAGGCCCCCAGCAGGATGCAGGCCTCCACCTGGAACCACAGACCCAAGAGGGGCTGGATCGGGTAAGGGGAGTTTGGGACTGGGAAACAGGAAGTCCAACATCTTTTCCACTCTCCTGCTGTGTGATTCCAGGCAGCCACTGGCCCTCTCTGGACTTCTGCAGCAGTTGTCTCATTTAATTCTCACAACCATTCTGAGGGGTAGGGTCCAGTATCCCTGTTTTATTGATGAGGAAACTGAGGCACAGAGAGACAAGCGATGGCCCAAGGTTTACAGAGCCATCAGTGGCAGAGCAGGGATTCAAGCCCCAGACTGCCTGGCTCCAAGTCCATGATGGGCATCCCAGGGAAGGAGCAGCTGAGTGGGTAGTTGATCTTGAGCCACTGGAATGGCAGGACAAGGCATCACACAGAGGGAGTGGGAACAGTTTAAGACTGAGCAGTTCTTGACATCTGTCACAGGGACTGAGGACAGGTGCAGAGATTGGATGCCCCATCTCCATGGCCATCAGGCCGTAGCTCAGCTAACACTTCCTGCCCCGTCTTCTCTGGCCGAGGAGCTCACGGGGTGCCTGGGCTCCCAAGACCCACCTGTGTTGGGGTGAGGGGGTGAAGCACATGTGTTCCCCTTCATGGGGCCCCCGACTCCCAGCTAGTGTAGCAGAGGTGGCTGAAGTCAGAAGCCCGGCAGAGTCCTGGGGGCTTTGGGAATTGGGGAGAGGGAAAGCCCACTTCTCTCAGGGTATTTGGGTAGGAGTGGAAAGTCGGGAAGACTTCTCAGAGGAGGTGCTGTTTGCACTGGGTCTGGAGGCTAAGTAGGATTTCAGGAGGTGGAGAAGGAGGCAACGGGAGGGTCTGCATGAGCAAAGTCACGGCAGCAGGCTTTGCTCAGAGGAGGCCAAGACGTGGGGTGTAGCTGGAGCTCAGGGGCCTGTGGGCCCCAGGGCAGCACAGGTCCAAGCCAGGCTGCCCCCGGCCCCAGGTCGGAAGGTCAGAGCCAGGTGTCTACGACCACCCCCACCAGGGCACTAGCTGCTGGCTTGTTGTCCGCCGCCTGCCCACCTGGCGCCCCGCCCACCCTCAGAGATGGCTGACTTCAGGCAGAGCAATTTAACAGCAGCTCGTGTAATGGGTCCCTTTGCTCCCGTAGACCAAATCAATATCTGCTACACTCCCCAGGTCTGTGGCTGCTGAAGACTCTTCTTATGGGACCCTTGGTCCCCCTTGTCTCACCTACTGGGATCCCTCGGGGGCCCGGATGAGGGGGCTGAAGGGCTGGGGCAGGGGTGGAGGGGGAGGAGGTAGCAGATCACACAACCAGCCCAGACATCCCCGGCCAGGCTGGCAGTGGGGACGGGGCTAGCAAGAGGCCCAGACTCCAGTGCTCCTGGACAGAGGCATGGCTGCCATTAAAGCCAAGTGTTTATTTTATGTCTCTGTCATCTTTGCATCTATATAAGTGCGCGTCCCCACCGGGCTGTGGAGGAAAAAGTTGGCTGAGAGATGCTGGGATAGCAGCCCATTAGGCTGCTCTTGAAGGCCCTTCTGACTCAAGGATTCTGGTTCACTTTTCTTAGATTCTGCACCTCCACCTGAAACATTCCACGGTCCTGGGAGTTCAGGACTGGAGGATGCTAAGAATCTAGCATGTCTAGAATC